TAACTTTTTTTAATACAGCAAAATTTGTGAATACAAGATTTACAAATGTAACACTTTCGAAATAAGTCTAAGGAATTGTCATTACAAAATTTTTCAATCAAACAATTCAATAATATAAACAGCTTTTTTTACGAATAAGAGAGGTATAAAATAATTTAATTTAAATTTAAAAATATTCTAATTTTTTATTTGAAGGTGTTGTAATTTTCTATCCGATATTATTTCTTCTCAAATCAAGAAAATTATTATTGAATAATGAGAATATATTATTTTTTGGTGTAACTAATTCAAACTTCATAAGCAAATTATGTCGGTTTAATGCTACATAATCTTATTTCAAGCTTTATGTATCGAAAATAAAAATATTCTCAAAGTACGAATAGTCTTTTTTTCTATGTATAACAATTTCTGATTATCTTTTTCAAATTTATTTCAATTAAAATTAAAAGCTTAGATTCAATTATAGTCTTTAGATTATTAGATAAATTATTATAGCTATACAGAAAGTACAATATATAATACGATTTTATTGAAGTATCTAAAAACTTACCTATAGATACAGACATGAAAATAGTTTTGTTAACTATTAAAATAATGTAGAGAACTCAAATATGATGAACAATATTGCAACAAATTTTTACATTCTAACAACTAACTTGAGTCCTATATAATTATTTTGATAGTCCAATAAAATTATGAGACCTATATATATATTTGGCTAAAGATACTTTAACAAAATCGTTTTTTTTTAATGCATTTAAGTCTCTTTTGAATGATAATGAAATAACTCAAATCGATTATTCTACAATAGCATCCTAGGTTCTAGTCCAAAATTGAAGAATCTCAATAGAAAAGACAAAGCGTCGATGGCGATTTGTGTGCTTGCGAGCGCGCTAAGTTGAATGCGGGCGTGATTTACGCTGACGTAAAAACTGTCGGTGGAACGTATTCGAAATAACCGCGGAATGTCCATATATTCTGGCGGAACGTTAAACGTTTACGCGGCAGACGTTTAACGCACATTGACCACATGGTTCGCCTTTACGTTGTCAACAGTGGCTGCGGCGTGGTTCATGCTACTGGTCGTTATCGCTCTCTCTTCCTGCTCGAGGAACACGCGTGATATTTTCACAGCACTGCTTCTTTATCATAGATAAAAAACTTGGAAAATATATTTCCTGTACATCATTTAATTACATTTATTAAACTCTAATTCTAAGAAAATCTATCACTTTAAGTGCAACAATATTTCTGCAACAATATTTAAACTTGCAGATTCTATGATCATCTTATACTGACTTCTCTCATTTCGATATTCTTCATTTAGTATTCTGCTTGTTTCTCTTTCGACTTCTATTTCAACACAGAAAGATTATTCTCATGTTGGAACGCGGTAATCATTTCCACTTATGTTCGTTAACAAAAGAGAAGAGAAGGACCAGCAAAAATTGATCTCAAGTGGAAAAGGTGCTGGATAGGAACAGTTGGGGCAGATTAGTGGTTTATCGAAGGGCAATCTAGCGATGAGAAGTAGATGGGGAAGCAGGATAGAAGAGTTGATGGACCTGAACGAAGAACGTGAATTGCATTTCAATGTGACCAGCGCGTACGTAAGAGCGGATTTCGTGTGGATTCCATGAGGGTAAAAACCTTGAATGGCGATCGTCGGCGAGAAGAGCCTCAAAGACGGACGGTGTTTTCGCGATAGCGAGCGAACCCCGTGGAATGTTATGGGATCATCGCGTCGACTTTTCGGCTCCGAGCAGAATTAAAGTTGTTTGGAATCTACAGATTTAGGATGATTTGTGATGTTTAGAATGTAGGACAGAATGTAGAATCTTTTATGGTATTCTTATAGTGATCTGCTGCAATTGAAAATAAACATCTAAAATTGGAAATAAACATCTAAATTATCATCTCATCGAATTTTTACCAATATATAAAATAATTATTAATTAGAATTAAAATATAAAAAAGCAATTTTCTTGAAAGCAATCTTCTTGCATTGAATAAAAAAAATCGCATAATAAGATTTCATTAAATATTAAATTTTATTTTATTAAGGCTGGTACCTGTAAACTGAGAGAGAGAGAGAGAGAGAGAGAGAGAGAGAGAGAGAGAGA